CAAGTGAAATGACTTTGGTGCCCCTGACCCTTGCCATTCGTAATCACAACAGTTACGCTTGTGCGATTGTGCCTATATAAGCACATACCTTCTTCCCTTTTCGTTCTTTACTTTGATTTCCTGGAGAAGTTCTTGCCCATTTTTCCATTGCGAGCGTTCTTCATAAATTTCTATTCTTCTTGCGCACTGGCATCTTCGAGCGTACTGCTCATAATAAACTCTTACAAGTTTTTCCCTTTATTCAGGTACTTTACTTGCTTTGGCATTCTCCTTGCTTCTTCCTTGACTCATTCGCATTTGGCCATCTGATTTTGAGCATGCTTCCTTTTTTTGAACTTTCTGTTCTTCGCATGTCATTCTGTCGATTTGCTTGTTTATTGATTTTCTTCTTTTTGCATCAACTTTCTATACTTCTAAAGTGTTGCACATTGCTTCACTTCTTTGCATTTTAGTGTGTGTCATCTTCTGTTTGTCGATTTTTTTCCTGTACCTTTAAAACTTGTGTCGTTTAGGATTTTAACAAAATGAGCGAGGAAAAACCTCCTTCTTCAGTTCTGCATTGTGAGGAGAAGAAGGAGAAAGATTCTGAATATTTTAAAAAGATTCCCCCTGGTGTTCGTTTTTGGCTGTGGGGGATTCCTAGGACTGAGGAAGAGGAACGGGAAGCCATGCTACGCAGTTATCGCGGTGGTAGATCCAGGAGAAGATCCGGGTTATCTAGTCGGGGATTAGGTCAGAGCCGGGGTAGTGGTTCCTCCAGTCGGGGTGGTAGTTGTATTCCCATGAATAGACGTACTCCCCAATACTTTTTGCAATCCGGCCCTGACACACCCCAACACCCGTCTATAACCAACCTTGCCTCTCCCTCAACCTGGCGGGTTGCTCTGCAGTCTTCCCCTGTCCAGAAAGTCAAATTTAATTTTATTTAAATTCAAGAGGTTAGGTAATTAAGGATAGTTTTGAATTATCCTTATCTCTATCTAATATGATTAGATAGAGATTTATTATTTCTATTTTATTTGAATTATGAATTTAAATAAAATTATATTTAATGTAATGTCTGTCTCTTAATGCTGATTAAGGGATTTGATGAGGAAACGTTAATGTAACGTCCACCTCTTAATGCTGATTAAGAGATTTGATGAGGAAACGTTAATGTAACGTCCATCTCTTAATGCTGATTAAGGGATTTGTTGAACCACGTTAAAGTAACGTCTTTTTCTTCAGATCAAGATATACAGTGCCTTGTTATCAAAAAAAAAAAAAAGATATACAGTGCCTCTCTGGACTAAAATCCTAACCTCAAGACAACATTACAGTCTTGAGAAAAATAAAAAAAAACACTTGAAAGCCTCCACCTTGCCGCAGCCTAGCGAGCTTCCAAGGAAATGGAGGGTTCAGGGAGAAAGCGTTTCTCAGAAGCAACTAAGAGGTAGCCGTGTGGATTACTGTTAGAGGGAGTCATCCACTTTGACACCTTCAAGTGAAAAAGGTATGAATTTTAAACCCTACATGTTTAACGGCCAGATCCTAAAACATGAGGCGCATAGATTGTCTATGCTTCCGCATCAAATACCATTTTTTTTGTTTTTACCCTCATGTAGGCGCATCAAGGTGGGACCTTTGTGCAACCAATTTTGACTTTCATCTTAGTCCTAGCAGTTTTCATGAAAGGTCTACCAAGTATAATTGTACTACTAGGAGTCTCACCCTCCATCCCCAAGATATAGAAATCAGTAGGAAAAATCAGATTGTTCACCCTAACTAATATATCCTCAACTACACCAGAAGGGTGAACACTACTCTTGTTGGCTAACTGAACAACAATACCAGTAGCACGCAAGGGACCAAGACCAAGAGACTTATACACAGATTCAGGCATAACATTAATGGATGCTCCTAAGTCGAACATGCAATCATGAAAAACAGAATTCCCAATAATGCAAGGAATAGTAAATGTCCCTGGATCTTGACACTTCTTGGGCATGGGTTGGATGAGTGCTGACACATTCTGACTGACGCTAACTCGCTCATCTCCTTTCATCCTCCTCTTGTTAGTGCACAACTCCTTCAGAAATTTTGCATATCTTAGAATTTGCTGAATCACATCCAGGAGTGGGATGTTTACCTCTACCTTTCTGAAGGTGTCAAGAATCTCTTTATCTTGAGCTTTTTGCCGCTTGCTTCTTGGACTTAGTGGCTCTTTGAGGAAAAGGCAACAGGAAGTTGACATCAGAAGTATTAGTATTCTGCTTCCTTGAACTAATGTCACCTCCCTAAGATAACTCAGCGATAGATTGGTTTGGCTCCTCCAGTTGCTTGCCAGACCGCAGAGAAATGGCACTAACATTGCTGGTTCCCTTTGGATTTGGAACTGTCTGTGATGAAAGGGAGCTGCTGGAAGGTTGGGCCTGGTTCAGTGATGTCGTCAATTGCCCAATCTGTGTCTGCAAATTCTGGATTGTGGATTCTGTCCTATGTTGAAACTCCAGATTGTTAGTGGCCATCTGTTTCATTAAGTCCTCCAAGGAAGGACCACTGCCACTATTTTGTTGTTGCACTGGTGGTTGCTGTTGCATCTGTTGGGGAGCAGCTTGCTGGATGTTTTGTCTCTGATGTGGAATGAAATGCTGCTTCTGCTAGTATGGAAAATTTTACTGACTCTGCTGATATGGAACATTTTGCTGATTCTGGTTCCATATGAGGTTGGGATGATTCTTCCAGCCAGGATTGTAAGTGTTGGAGAATGGATTATTCTGCTGCTGCTAGAACTGTGGGGTGAAAGACTGCAGCTACTGACTGGTCTGCAAGAATGAGGCCCTCTTGCATAGAAGGGCAAGCATCAGTGGGGTGAAAAGATTCACCGCATATGCCACATGGATTGCCGGACTGTGGGGCAGAAGTCTGGACTGTCTGGGTAACTACCAACTGTCTCACCATGGTTGCTAGTTCATCAAGTCTATTGTCAATTCGCTGATTGTCAGTACTTGATGCCACTGTTGAAGGCTGGGTTGGAATCGCTTGCACCTGGTATATAGCACTGCTATTGGCTTTCATTCCAAATTGTTGAGCATTTGCAGCCATGTTTGAGATCAACGCCTTAGCTTCATCGGGTGTTTTGTCAACAAGAACTCCTCCACTGGCAGCATCAATCAGTTTCCTATCAATATGTAGGAATCCCTCATAGAAGTAGATTGTAACACCTCGTGCATACCCGGTTTGTTAACATGTCATTGTATTAAGCTACGCTTAATTAAAAATGCGGAATAACTTTTTCTTTTCAATTATGACGTCATTATCAATTACCAACTTGATTACTTAATCCTTTTCAAAACATCGCCTGTATGTAAATTGCAATAAAACATCTAACTAAAAATACCTCAATAATATATAATAAATGTGTCTCTAGTCACGGAACTACAACACGTAGACCGGACAACATCCTGATAGTTTATACAACTCAACTATAAAGATACTAACATCAATTTGGAATGGACAATCCTCATGCTCGCCAAATAAGGCAACAAAGCCCACAAAAGTCACAGCTCAATAAACCACATAATGAAGCTAATAGCATAATAGCAACAAACATAAACCAGCATCCAAGCATAATCAACATAAGCAGGTAAACATCAATCAACTAAGCTCCAGCCTCCTGCCGCCCGAGGTCTCAACCCCTGGATTACCTGAACCTGAAATAAGCGCCCCAAACGTGGGGTGAGATCTCTAAACAGAAATCTCAGTAAGGCAAGGGGTCCTCAAGGATTTCTCCACCCCAAGCTCACTTACATGTGCAATATAAGTTCTAAAAGCATTATACAATATCAATTCCAAAATCAGTGCAATGCAAGCAGATAATCATGTCATGTGTGTCAATACTATTCTACTGACCAGAGAAATGCGAGATTTATATACGTCTATTACCCGCATTAGTGCAAGACGCCACTTGCACCCACCCACGGAATCATCGTCTTGTATGACACCACATACTCAGGCTTACCGTTTAGATGGAACAACACATACATATTATAAGCAATTGTACATAAAGCACAACAACATTTCAAATATCAAAGCATGTAACACATCATGCATATAAACCATCCCCCCATGGGGTATGGTGGAACCACACAATGGCTAAACCGAGGATACGAAAGCTTACCTTGCAAGCTAACTATCCAAGCCAAGAGTCCAACCAAGCTCAAAGTCCACACACAGCACAATCACAATTAGTTTGGACCAATAATCATATCAATAATCATACTCTACAAGCATATGATATAACAACTCTCACTGTCAAAATATATAACACTAAATCAATTGAGTGTTTAATTAGTTTAAACACGTAATTAACGAAATGGTGAGTAGGAAATCATGTGATAAATATGATAATTAATTTAAGGATACAGTTCATACCATATAAGTCTAATAGGGCCCAAATATAATTATGGATTATATATGAGGATATGGATGTTATGGTAGTAAAAGATCGGATTTATTTTAATAATTAGACGAAATAAGTATAATTATGATTTAGAATGTATAATTAATTAGTTTAGCAGAATTAGTGGGTTTAAAGTACCTTTAATTTAATTAGATAATTGCTGTAATAATTATTAAAATTAAGTTGAGATAAATTAAATAAAAGAAAAACCAATAAGAATTTAATTGAGGTTAGAAGAATTGAAGATGTATATAGGGTAACAATTGAAGTTAATTGGACTTTAATATTACTAAAGCAAATCTCTTTTTGCTGCACCTCCACGTCACTTTTATTTCCTTGTAGTCAAGTAGTAGCATTTGAATTAAGCAACAAAGAAGCAATTGCTTAGTCTTCCAAATCAGTTTTATATTCCTTTTGGTTTTTCACGCTAGTTTTCTTACCTTGTCTTTAGTGAGATGGCAAAACAACCATCATGTTGAAAAGTCAAAAAGGAAATGGCATGAAAGTTAATTCATTTGTTATAAAGGGTACCCAAAGTCAGTTGCCTCTTTAAGTCTCATTTCCACGGTTCATCCTTTTGTTTCTTCTTCTTTTACAAAACCGAACGCATATGAAAGAATAGGGCAAGCGTACAACTTCATTTCCTGACATCTTCTTGCTTCGGTTTCTTCAAAGAAATCAAAGACAACAACCTTAAGAACTTAGCCTTATCTTTTATTCCTTGTGAGAAGCTCTCTTAGTGATATACATGCCTCTTTCTCCTTCGACCCTAGGGCTATCTTACAAGGATTTGAAGTGGTTTTCCAAATATTAAAGATGCAAGTTGATTCCTAGTGTGGTGGAGGTTAAACAAGGTAATATATATATGTTTGAATGGTTGGAAAATTTATAGTAGACTTGGAATTTTGTCATGGGCTGATTGTAAGTATTTAATGTTATGATTATTTAAGTAGTTGGATGCATGGTTTTGGCTGTTTGTTGAGTATAAGTTAAACTATGCATGTATAGGCTTGAAATGAACAAAAGAAATTATTTGTAGGAACCAAGAAGCAATCGATCAAGGCAAGAGAAAGTATGCAAGCTAGGTGTTTGATAAAATTTCTAACTGAAACTAAGATTTACAAGTGACCAAAAGAAAGTTGGTTTAATATAAATTAAGTAGAAATAGTAAGAAAAATCCATTGAATCTAGTATAGGCAAATTCAGCCAAGAGAAGGAAAATTGTGTAAAGTATATGTTTAATAAAATTCCTTGATGAAAGTGTGAGTATTAAGTAAATTGATGATGATTGGATTAGTAGAAAATGATGAAAAAAATTATTGAAATTAATTAAGGCCAATTCGGCTATATATATAAAAAAATAATGGGAGAGGGTAGTACATTGCTTTGTACGTTGACATGTGTTACAAGTGGATTGATGATCCTATGTGTGACCATTGTAGGTTGTCGTACGTGGATTTGAACCCCGAACCGTGAGCTCAGTGGGTTGCCCTTGGTCCCGGACCAAGTGGGATTGAGGCATTCTGTTGAATAATGAGTTTGGAAAATAAGTTGTTGTGGAGCTAAGTGGAGGAACATATTGAGGTAACCTCTTGGTACTGGGGCTTGTTCCCCTTGTGTGTTCCACCATGCCAGTTCATGGTATTGGTAGGAAATGTATATGAGTAGTGTAGAACAGCATGAGCATGCATATAGTATTTATGAGGGTACTTATGTACCGAGTCTCTGGCCAGTAGACAGTGTAGCCTTCGGGCAGTGCGGACTTCCACTGGATAGGTCTCCGAGAGGGAGTTCCAGTTGACCTAGGGTCGTGGTGTGTCATCCGGGTAGGAGCACACTAGGAAGTCTCGGGTGTATAGGGATGGAAGGGGTACCTTGGTTGTGGTTCTTGGAACACACCTTGGATGAGACCCGTAGACTTGTATGCCGAGGACGTTGTGTGGTATTGGTAGCTATCATTCCAGTTTCGTCGTATTTTATATCCCGATATTCCCTTAGTTTCTCTAAATCCCTTGCTATATCTCGTTTTGAAAGTGGTTGTTTTATATTACTTATATGCATCGAAGTGAACCATTGGACGGAGTTTTCTCCAGAACCTCTGGGTTACTGAGATATATTCGTATATCTCACCCCGTCTTGGGGCATTTATTTCAGGAGGTAGCAGTGGCACAGGAGTGGCGGGCAAGAGGCCCGTAGGATGAGTCATGGGAGCATTGTCATTATTTGTTCATGATATATATATTTTGCCTAAGTCTAGTTAGTTATTATGTCATTCGATGTTATGTTTAAAGTTGTAAATTCAAGTTCATTTTTCAAGTTGTAAATTCAAGTTATGAATATGTACGTTGTTATATTTAAATGAGATGTTGTAAGTATACCTGAATATTGATGTAATATGATGGAAGGGCTTTAGGCCTATGTTAGAATTATGATTATATGCTTATGTTGAGAAATTGCATGTAAATGGACTTAGTGATTGAAATGAGTTAAGGAATTATAAAGTGAGCCATATAATATGAATTGTGTAATAACTATAAACTGAGTTGGGTTGTAAGTGCCCCAAGGCATTTTTGGTCCTTGTGTTTGCCACCCATTGGATTATTAGGTACATTTGAGGTGTTAGTGATCATTTGCAATTTGGGGATTTTAGGAAAAACAAAGGAAACTCTGGCGAATTTTCTGTAGAATTGGCAGATTTTACACAAAATTTGGGAGAGCATATCTCCCTCCATAGAGCTCCGATAGGGACGTGTCATATGCCATTTTAAATCTTGAGATGTCCCCTACATGGTGTTAAAATATGAGAAAATTCCGGGTTGCACGCATTCCTGTATGATTAAAAGAACACGGACTGTCCAGAACCCCCTTATGCAGGGGCTGTTTCTGGCAGTTTTTTGGGAAATTAATTCCCGCTTCATTTCTCAGTCAAATTATGCATATGATATATCAAATCGAATCTTGAGGTGTCTAGTTTGTAGAATAAAAATTTGAGAGCAATTGGGTGAGATGATTTTCTGCAGTAATTTGTGGAGTGAGAGGTGTTTTGAGCTGTTTTGGGGTTGGTTGGCTGTTTTGCTTGTCCAACTTCAAACGGGGATAACCGGAGCAAACGAGCTCCGATTAAAGTGTGTGATAGCTTATTAGAAAGGGAATTAAGTAAGACAAAAATATAATTTGAAAGAAAGGTCTGGTTGTGAGCGGTGTGTTCGCAGAAAATTAATTAGTGAACCATGTTCGAAAAGGTAAAAACGTAAAGTTGAGAAATTGGCTAAGTGGGTTTATGGAAACCCCTTAGTAACTTATAATAAGTAAAGTAAGATGTAAAAGTAGTTAAAATAAGTATTCCGAAAGAGTTTACAGTTACGGTCACAGCTTTTAATTATTACGTTTTTTATTGTTTTAAATGCTCGCGTAATAATCGGAAAAAGTTTGTTCGCATTTTTATAAATGAACTGCTGTGATTGTAACTGCGCTTAATATCATAAATAAATGTTAACAATACCGGTGTACAACGGGCTGTTACATATGACATAAAGACAATTCTTTCCTTTTACGTTTCATGTCTTTAGGCTTCTAACAAAGCCTTAAGCCCTTAATCACTTTGATTCTGACTTAAATTAATTAATACAGAAGTCCACATTAACCAATCACGGGTCCACAAACCCCCAATGGCATTCTGTATGAATAGTACAGCTACTGTTCTCGAAAACCCAGAATATCCATATATATGTCGGGGATATATCTGGATATCCCGGATATCCATATTCAGATATCACAAGACCCTATATCCGGATATGATATCCAGATATTTCGTGACAGAATGCAATTTCTGCATTTCGCGAGATATCACTCCAAAGGTTCGGTTTTTAATCCATTAAAACGTCCAAGCATGCATTTTTATTCTCTTTTAGGTTCATATACAGATTGGTTACTTGTTTAACTCATTAACATGCCAAGACTCAACCTTAAAGCAATCAAAACTCATGATCAAATGTTCAGCAACTTACCCAAAGCTTAAAACAGCAAAGAATGATGCTCTTGGAGCTCTGAAGTCAGCTCTGAGGTGCTGACTCCAAGGGTGCACGAAAATGACACCCAAGCAAGGTCATTTCTCTTCAAAGGTCACACCTTGAAGCTCCCACACTCAAGGAGAAGGTTCCCACAACAAGTTTCATGAACTCAGCACCTAAACAACACTCACAGAGGCCAAACTCAGAAAAGGAAGCATTGCCACATCTTCACAAGACCCACTTACGCAAGGCTTTGGTGTTTAAATGAAGAAAGAGTGGAGAAAGGTGATCACTTGGGCTTGTTCTTGAAGAAAATGGAGGTGGCAAGCTATGAAGAGCAAAACTCAGAAGTGGAGGCACAAGGGTCATGTGGGAATGCCAAGTTTCTGACCTAGGATCATGTGCCACCCCTTAAATAGCCCACTTAAGTTTTAAACGCACAATATTAGCATTAATAGCTACGCTTAACATTTTAATCCCACACTCAGGATTCTGAACCTATTCATTTTTCTAAGATTTTTCATATTTTTATTTTATTTTTCGCAGCACCTTTCTGGTACGCTCTTTTACATAGCCAGTATTAGTTCTGGCACCCGTTCTCATTATTTTGACTTCAAACTTGTTTTATCAGTCCTATATATATTTCTAGGAATATTCATGCACTTATTATAATTTTTCAGGATACTTCATTAGTACGCACTTATACCGTGGAGCAGAATCGGTATCTGCACTTTTCGTCAGAAAAGCGACTTTCAGCATTAAAACTCACTTACCATAATTATATAAGCCTTATCATAATTATTAGGGTCAATTATGGAACCATCTCATTAATCTCGTAATTATTTAATTAAATACCTTAATTAACGGTGCGGGTTCTTACAAAGACAATCAGCAATTGCTCCGGAATCTGGTGATGTGGACAGCTTGCACAAAGTCTTTTAAACTACTCCCAGTACTCATGCAAGTTCTCCCCATTTGCTTGTTTTATGCCACTTATCTCCTTTCTCATTGAAGTGGCTCTTGAGGAAGGGAAAAACTTCTCCAAAAACCATCTGGCCATGTCATTCTAAGTCTCGATAGATGAAGGTTGAAGGTAGTACAGCCAATCCTTAGCTCCTCCGTCGAGGGAAAAAGGAAAGGGCTCTCAGTTTAACCTGCTCCTCATCAACTCCCTGCGGTTTCATTGTGCTGCATACTACATGAAACTCCTTCAAATGCTTATAAGGATCCTCACCTGTAAGACCATAAAACATGGGAAGCAAATGCATAAGACCATACTTAAGTTTAAAACCAGTATCAAGATCAAGATAATGAATGCAAAAAAGCTGATAGTTAACCTATGGTGTAGTCAATTGCCTTAAGCTTTTATTATCCATTTTTTTTAATTAATGATAGTACTACTAGAAAAAATAAAATGTACCCTATAAAAAAATTATTATATTTAAACTAAAGTAGAAATTAACCAAAATAATATTAGAAACACTATTGAACGATTTTTAAAAATTATATGACCACCACACACAAAGTTTTACCCTATCTAAGAACTCAAAAATCAAATAAAAATATTTTTTTAAAAAAAATGAAAAAAGTGGTCTAAACAATGGAGTTTGGCCAGAACAGTGTAGGTCTCACACTTTGGGTAAGCCTTTCTTAGAATATCTTATCCTTCAGCTCACAAAAAATCTAGCCCAATCGGAGCAAAAACAGCAATTGCCAAAATAATCGATATGTCTTGTCGCGATCAAAACTTCCTAAATTATAAAAGATCAAATAAGAAAAAGAATTAGGAAAAAAATTAAAATAAATAAAATAAAAGAAAAGAAAGAGCAAAAGGAACCAAAACAAAAATAAAAACAAAATAAATAAATAAATAAATAAAATGTAAAAAATTAAGAATAAAAGGAAACAAAATCTAACAAAATCTAATCTATCTAATCAAAATCTAACAAAATATGATCTAATCTAACAATATCTAACAAAATCTTAACAGAATCAAAATAATAGGAATGATTGGAAACAAAATCTAGTCTAATCTAATCAAAATCCTAACAAAATCTAATCTACTGTTAATATTCACTAATTAGAAGAAAAAAATAGAAACAGAAAAATGAAAAATTAAAAGAAATAGATACAGAAAAATCAAAACGAAAATTGAAAAAACAACTTAAAAAAAAATAGAAACAGAAAAGGGAAAGAGAAAGAACGCTATTGACGTGCAGATTCTCTGGCAACTGTGCCAAATTTGACGTGCGCTGTCGAACCCACGCAAATTATCGAGCTTCAGGTTTGTAGTGATAAGGCAACTCGGATCGTCTCCCAAAGAACCTGCTAGAAATCATAAACGCTCTTGTAAAATAGAATATAAAAGGAAAGGGGGATTTTGTTGATTTGAAATTTAAATAACAACAGATTTGAAATTGGATTTAAAAATCAGAATTAAAAAGCAATCAACCTGTGGAATCAGGATTCATTAATTTATTTCGTCATTGGATAAAAATATATAATTATCAATTTGTGATTAATTTCAATTGAATTTCAGGTTGACTCTTTACTACAAAATTTTAATAAACCTGATTTAATTAATTTGTGCGAGTTCGACAGCTCGTGTCAAATTTGGCGTTGTCGAACCCACGCAAATTACGAAGCTTCAGGTTTGTAGTGATAGGGCAACTCGGATCGTCTCCCAAAGGACCTGCTACAAATTAGAAACGCTCTTGTAAAATAGAATATAAAAGGAAAGGGGATTTTGTTGATTTGAAATTTAAATAACAATAGATTTGAAATTGTATTTAAAAATCAAAATTAAAAAGCAATCAACCTAAGGAATCAAGATTCATTAATTTATTTTGTCATTGGATAAAAATATATAATTATCAATTTGTGATTAACTCCAATCGAATTAGGAATCCTCAAATTCCATTGGAAACCCTCTCTAGACCATCGCCTAGCGTTTGGTTGAATACAATATTTAAACTATGTAATCGCAGTAATTTAAACCTGTTTAACTTATGTTCATTGGGTTGGTTAATCTGACCATTAAATCTAATGATCAATTTTCCCTTGTAGAATGCAATCGCATTATTCAATTTGAATATCTACAATTGCATGATATTCAACCTGAATTGGGAAAAAAGGAAATTGATGAAAAAGTTAGAAACTGATCCTCTAAAATAAACTAACGAACCTTTAACCTTAGATTGATTAAAGGTGTTTATCCTAGCATTGCGAGGTTAAACATCATTCAAAATAAAATAAGAAAAGAAGAAGAAGATGAAAAGAAAGAGTGCAGAATTTCAATAAAGAAAACTAAAAATAATTGTTCAATTCTAAAATCTGACTGCCAAAGGGTTTCCTAACGTTTCCCTTAAATAAACCACATTCACAACGGGTTA